AGCCCTTCACGCCTAAAAGTAATGATACGGTGGACACTACATCTTCACGCAAACTGTTTTTACTTCTGTGTAGAACTCATAGGACTCTCTGGCTCCTTCTCGGCCAATCCCAGAAGCTTTGACTCCTCCAAAAGGCATGTTAAGGTCACGGACCAACCAGCAATTGCACCACACTGTCCCTGCCTGGCGAAATATAAGCAAAGCTGTGTTTTAACGTTGTTATACCAAAACATTTGGCGACATTTCACATTTGCAATAAGCGACACAATCACAACACAGTTGTCACAATGTTATCGACTTAAGAAACATGTTATTCATTTTGTCACAACTGACAGTAGGACAGCGCTCGCTCGATAAAAAAATTTGTTTGCACTGTACTGTACAATAAAAACATTGGACCAAAAACTTATTACTATGACGCTGACTACGACTAAACTAAAAGACAGATGTCGAAAAGATAAGATCAGGCAATTTCGTAAACAAAAAAGACCTTGCCATGAACTGATAAGTCTGTCAGCAAATAGGAATATTAAAGTACGCGCCGTTCAGAAAACTTTCTTTCACTTCTTTCTTGTACCTGTAAGCGTTTAGCTACTCGGTGAGTGCGCGACAGATTCTCTGACCAAATCACTGCAGCTAGTCCATACTTGACACCATTGGCTCGCTTGATAACCTGACAGGAAAAGCCCAGGAAAAAAAAAAGATAGGACAAATAAAAAAAAAAATGTAACTAACAGACACACAAACAAAACTAAAACAAAACACAGACAGATGCTGAGTAAACATCGACAGGAGATTTGCCTAAGGGAGCACACCCGAGACTAGATCAAAAAGAAAAAAAAACGGCGGCAAAGAAGATTGCCATCCAGTTTATCGACTGTTAATTGTACAACAGATCTATTCGATATGTTTTCTCCACTGAGACGCTCTCTGGCTCATAGATAATAGGGAGTCGCAGTACAGAATTCACATTGTGTCTTATTACAAAGGTTTTTCAAAGTACACGTATTCAATGAGTTCACTGGTTGATTGATTGCGTGTAATTCACACGCATTTTACACATACTTTTAATTTCACGCATTTGGGCATATTTTGCATGTGTAATGTGTGGAAATTGCACGTGCGTCAAGCACGCGTGAAGCTGCAAGACACGTGCGCGGTAATATAAGTTTGCATTATTCCGTTTCCTTATAACACGTACCTCTTCCTCGTTTTCAAATGGTACAATCGCCACTACTGGACCTGTAAAAACAGAAGGAAATCTCATACAGAGACCCAGCACTATTGACCAAGCGATAGCCAATCAGAGCGTACTTTATAGCGCACACGACACTAATCCCGCCATTTAAGAAAGAGGTCTGAGAAGTGAAGTAATTGCGCTGTCCTCGCTCACCAAATATCTCTTCTTGCATGCAGCGGGTGTTGTCTGACAAACCAGTGATCACCGTGGGTCGCATGAAGTATCCCTATGACGTAAAAAAAAAAATAACAAAATAACAAAATATTGAAAACTGAAAACAAACCTGCTATCACCACACTAAAGTAAACAAACGTACACAACTGTGTTTACCTCCGTATAAGGGTTCGGGAGTTCCAAAGGAGAGTCCTTTCCTTCGCCACAAACAATTTTTCCACCTTCATTCACAGCAAGTTTCACATATCCAAGGACCTTGAGAGGAAACAACACGATATGGATATGATGCAAGGCACGTAATACGCTACATGCACAACGGATATAACGATAACACCAACGCTAACAACATTGATAACGACACCAATAACGCTAACGCTGACGATATTGATAACTCTAACGACAACGATACGAATAACGCTGACACTAACGATAATGATAACGCTATCACTAACGACAGCGGTAACGGTAACGATGACGCAAACGACAACGATAACGACGCCAAAAACGCTGAAGCTAACAATAACGATAACGCTAACGAATAATGATAACGCTAACGGTAACAATAAAGCTAAAGGTAACGTTTTAAATAAATATCACAATAACGACCACGATACCAATAACGCTGACGCTGAAGCTAACCATAACGATAGAGATAATGATAATACCTTAGCCAAGTGTTCCTTGCTGACTAACGCCCCGACATTGGTTGCTGGATCTTTTGGAGCACCGACCTTGAGTTGCCTAGTATACAAAGAGATATGGAATGGTAAAAGATCTCAACAACTCTTAACGGTTCTGATACAACAGTTCATACACATCAGAATTATGTAATTCACAATCATAACATAAAGAATAAAAAATGCTGTACCTCGTTCGTTCCACAAAACCTCCAAAAATTGGTCATAAATTCCTTTTTGCACATAAACTCTACTAGTGCAGAGACAAATCTCTCCTTGATTAGCGAAACTGGACCTGAAGTAGAAATCAAGAAGTATTCATATTTTTACCATTGGTAAGATATTTGTGTGCATATAGATCCTTAAAACCGTTTTCACCTTAAACAAGCCAAGAATACATAATCAAAAACACTGCCAGTAAAGAGTCAAAAGCTGAGCTCTGAATGGAAATGTCAATTGACCACTTGGCCGCTCAACACTATTTCTCAGTCACCACACAAAACAACTTGTTCACAAAAAAAAGAGTTTGATTCAAAAGATTCATGTAACACAGATACCTGTAAGTGTGAAATTTTTAGAGAAAAAAATTTGTTGAAAACATATTCAAATTCTTGAATAATCACCAGTTGAGTGTACAAATGCACACCGAAAATAGTAAAAAATGTGAGAGAACTGCATGGTGGTCAGACTGTTTTCTAAGGCACATCAAGGTACCATGAAGCTTGATTTCTCCAGTCTACCTTGGATGGTAACAGGTGACGATGCCCCCCCCCCCCTTGCACAGTCTCCCCAAGTTCTGTTACCCCCAAGAGAAGTTCTGTCGCCCCAAAGTATGGTTGCTTTAACCCAACTTGAAGTTTTTAACGTTATAAACTGTGTTTTAATTATTATCTTTTAATACTAAACAAATAAATTTGCAAACACACCTGACAGTTGTTGCTATGGATTTCTCTAAATCTGCATCATCAAAAATAATTGCTGCATTCTTCCCTCCAAGCTGAAAAAAAAATGAGTGAAATAATAGAATGCATTGTATACTCAAGAAAGAAATGTGAACATACATGTATCTGTCAATTACATTTTAATACTTAATGGTATTGATTTACTTGTCTGGTGTGCAGACTGACAGATCGCAAGAGATGAGCTGAGCTCATCACACACACAGAATCATAAAATATTTATAAAATAAAAAACACACAAAAAAAAATAAATAAATAATAAATATTCATAAAATATTCAAGTCCAAATAGAGACAGTCACTTTCACTCTTACAGTCACTGTAAGTTATTATTAAGTTATTACTAATTTTTCATTCAAGTTTGTTTCTAATACGTTTCTTCATTTTACAGTTCTAATGAGGACTCGACACTAACGGTAGCCCCCTTGCCACAAACTAGTAGAAATTCAGTTTTAGCTGGTGGTTTTCAATTTCTTCTAGCCAGTTTGGCTAATATTAAACAAACTAAAATTGCCGTAACATCTGAGATGTCACCAGCCACATGGCTAGTAAGTTGAAAAGTGAGTGTCAAGCCCTGCATGCTAACCATAATTAATAAGGTTGGAAACAGAGAATATTAATTATCAACCAGGATAGATTTTACCTTTCAACCTGCAGTCTAAATTTAAAGTACCTGCACCATGTTCTGGACATGTACATGATTATATTCACATTTGGTACTTAAAAACAGTACCGTACTCACTTCCAATGAAGTTTTCTTATAGTAAGGAGCTGTCATTTCTGTGATGGCTTGACCTGTGACAGTTGAACCAGTGAATGAAATCACAGGAACATCAGGGTGTCTAACGATGGCAGCTCCCGCTTTGGGTCCCGTGCCCATCACTAGGTTAACAACACCAGGAGGCAGGCCTACAGCCGTGAACGAAGACAAGATGCATTAAAGGGGAAGAATTCTGATTGAATGTTGAAAAAAGGCAAATCAGGACAAAGAAAAATATCAGAAGAGCCTAATATTGGGAAGAACTCAAAGCCAAACAAGCTACAGTTGAAACTGCCTGAAAATGATACAAACAAGATGCAACTGGCTTAAGACTTGCAACTTATTGGTTGCAAGGATGGCACAAGATTTTCAGCACCAATCTAAAGACAAAGTAAACATAAACTAACATCATTAGTTTATGTTTCCTGCAATCCAAGATTTAAGTATTGACACTTGATTAAAAATGACTAAATACTCAGGCTCTGAAGCATACTTAGTGAGTTAAACACAGTGAAAAACTGATGTTTAGGAGAAACATGACTGTACAACTGTTGAGTTATAAAATTTTAGTAATTATCTTCTGAGCATAGTTATTATATTATTATAATGGTGTAAACAACAAGCACAATAATATAAAAAAGGCTTCTTTAATTTTCAGCCTGTAAATGATACCCAAGATCTAAGCACTTATTCTCACTAGTGTCTGCCAGACATTTAATGATAAACACCACGGCGTATACTATTGAGTTATGGATGCACACGGGAGGTTGCTAAGCAGGAAAGAAGCGTAAGAGTCATGCAAGGTGATAGACGAGAACGACTCTACCTTCTTGAGTGCTTAGCAAACCTACCAAGTGCATCCATAACTCAATAGTATACACTGTGGTGTTTACCATTTATTTCATTATTAAAACATAACATTGTAGTAAAATAGTTTTCTTTTATTTAGCAAATCTTACATGACTAGAAAAAACAAGCATGCATGGAAAACTAGTCTTTGCATTTGCTCATGTCTGAGTAGCATACACCCATGGGCAAATGGTGGATGCCAAATTGACCAATCAGAGCATGCGCTTTACTGAGTTGACCAATCAGAGAGTGCACTTTACTTTGGTTATGTTATAATTCCTAGAAAGTTGGCTCAGAGAGTTTGTTGTTGGATCAAAATAATAATCCCCTTGTTGATATTTTAATTTGTATATTCTCATCACTTTTCTTCTTGATTCTGTATTGATATTGTAAGGAGAAAACATGTCTTGGTCTCTCCTGAGAGAGAAAGGGTTACCGGTAACTCTATAACTCATCCCAAGATCTGATTGTTAATTCTCCACTTTACCTGATGAATTAAATATTTAGTTCTTATTAACCGAGCGGGAGGTCTGTATGGGAGAATCTTGACCGAGGTCACCAGTACAGACCAAAAGCAGTGAGGTCTGTACCGGCGATTGAGGTCAAGATTCTCCCATACAGATCGACCTAGCTCAGTTAATAACTAAAGATGTTTATTATATGGCTGTGTCTCTAAGGCCAATTTTTCATATTCTTTGTATCTTTTTTCTAGACTGGTCTAAATGCTGGACTAGATGGGAATCAAAATCTAGACCGCTTTCAGTATTGATTTCAGCCAATCAAATTTGTGAATTCCATAGTTCCCAGTCCTTGCGAGACATAGCCATATAATAAATTTCCTTATAAATTAGTCCACATGTGAATTTGATATTAGATCAAGATAACAATCCGATAGGTTTGAGTATTCTTGTTATATGTTGACTGAATAATGAATGTATGGGATATTATATTGAGAAGTTATGACTAATAATCACTTCTGGGAGTGAAAAGATTAGGTGAAACTACTACAGGACTGTGGTCTAGCAGTGCCTGATTGCCCCTTTTTTATCACTATAGAAGATGGCAATACTCAAGGAGGCGAATGACAGTAAATGAAGCCATGCTTTTTAATCACTCCTCCGGGATTCTGGGGAAGCCCCAAAAACTACTTCATATAACACCCCTGACGCCTTATTTTTGCTCTTAGGCGACTCAGGAATCTTAGTTTTTTCATAAAAAGCATATGCTAGGCACTCTGGATTTCACACTTTCAGAGCACGGCAGGGCTCTTTTCATTTTTTTTTTTTCAAAGCACAGCCTTGTACTGACAGTTACTCAGTTTTGTACCTGCTTCATTGAGCACCTTTGCCATCATCCATGCTGTCACAGATGTCATTTCACTTGGTTTGCAGACAACAGTGTTTCCAGAAGCAATTGCAGGTGCAATCTTGAAAGTAAGGAGATAAATAGGCAAATTCCAAGGGGAGATCAATCCAGCCACGCCAACTGGACTCCGGATAGTGCAATTCAGTACACCAACACTTTCTAGAACATTGGCACTATTACAATGAAAATAAAGTTAACTTGGTTAAGTGTCAGTTTATTGTGCCAAAGGTGTTAAAGCACAGGCATCTCATGTTTGAAAGAAAAGCAAAAGTTCATTTCATGAAAGTGTCATGCATAGTGTGACACCGTGTTAAGCTACATGAGGAACTGTTGAAAATTGGAATGCATCATAAGGAATAGTCAGAAGAACAGAATATGGTCAATTTATAACACAAAATACAGGGTTCTCCCTAAATTTTGGAGTAGGAGGAGAATAAAATGGAGTAGCCAGCAGAGGAATTTATAACGGTGTGCAAGTGCCTTCCATGCACTTCTGGCACAAGGGGGGGAGGATATGGGAGGAGGGAAGAGCTGAGAGAAGTGTATTTTGGCATGTGTTTTGAGAGTATGTTGTCTTATATATATGGATTGCTTTTCGTCGGTAACCGCTGCCTTGAAATTTGAGCCTGTTTCGTTTGCTAAATGTGCAATGTTCAAGCGACTTCTGCAGCCAGAATCAATGCAAGTGATGGTGTGGCGAAATTCTTGACGAAACTTTCAGGTTTATTCAGTCAAAACCATTTGAGGACACTTGGCTCTTAAAGGAAAACGTTATTTATTTTGGAATATATTTACCCAAAGAGAAGTAGGCGTCGCAAATGGATAAGTTGCCGTAGGATGCAAAACAAAGTTTTCTTTATTATTATTATTTGGATCTGAGTAGCCGGTACGCCCAAGATGACTAACTGGCGATTTTTGCCGGTCGCTGGGGCTTAAGGAAATCTCTGAAAATATTCCAAAATATGAACATTTTACATCTAAGATTGATAAAACTTACTCACTCCTTGTATGTCCATCATCATGATGGTATTATTTTGGCAATTTCTGCTGTTTTGGGCTTGCTTTGTTATGACTGTGTGGTAAGGGTGAGTAAGTTTTATCAATCTTACAGGTAAAGTGTTCATATTTCAAAATATTTAGTGTTGTAAATTGACCATATTTTGTCCCTATAGACCACTTTCATAAATGGCTGCTGGATTAATATTCTTTTGTTTAAATTTAAATTAGCCCTACTAGCCTCATTCTCCAGTACAAAATTCAAAAGAATACATTATCTCAAGCAAGGCCAAAGAGGCTAATTTAAATTCAAACAAAAGAATATTAATCCGGCAGCTATTTATGAAAGTGGTCAATGCCATTCTTTATCATAATGCGTTCAAATTCTCAATGGTTCCTCATGTAGACGAAAACCATGTTACACAACAAGTAAAGCTATCAAGAAATAATCTTTCATTTTTTTCTTCAAGACATGAGCTTGGGATGCCTGTAATCAGAGAGGGAGAACTTCTGCAATATTGCTATACTTCAAATGGCAAATTAACATCTTTGGGCAGCTATAGACATGTATCATGTGATAAAGCAGGATGCTGAACTATTACATAAAGAATTGCATGGATGGTCAATTCAAGAAGCAAAGGTTGGCTGGCAGCAGAATATTTTTAGAAATAACTGATTTTAATAATCAAGCATGATTAACCTTGTCATTACCTAAATGTACCAGTGAGAGATAAATCCAGACACTCACTACAGTTTCTTGATTACTATTGGTCCCGAGTTTTCACCGGTAACTCCACCGACTGTCTATTATACAATTCTTATCATGTTAATTATTTTCTCTGGATTGATATTTGCGCAATACAAATCAATGAATATTATTGTTATTATTATTATTATTATTATTATTATTATTATTATATTAGACAATTTGGAATTGGATCAACCAATAAACCCATAATTGCATATAATTATTCTTGTTTATTCGCATCACTTGTCTGCTTGATACTGTATTGTGATCATATAGAGAAATTCTTTCTTTGTCACTTATGGTAGTTAATTAAAATTGTCTCAAGCACTTACTGGTTTTCAGCTGAGGAACTTATAATTGTTGAAGCAAAGAATCTAAAGTTAAGGCAAGCACGTGGAATGTCAACTGTCCTTGCCAGCAACACTGGTTTCCCTTGGTCTTTTGACTCTGCCTCAGCAAATTCATCAAATTGGGTTTCAATGAGATCAGCAATCTTTCTCATTATACCTGCCCTATACTCTGGTGTGGTGACAGATCAGCTGCATTGAAAATGTCATCAGAAAATGTCCACAATTATACGATATATAAGTCAAACAAACCAAAGAGTTCAAAAGTAAAATGATATTAAAGTAAAGTTATTAAAAGTAAAATGTTATTAAAAGTAAAATGTTATTAAAAGTAAATAGTAAAAAGTTATTAAAAGTAAAATGATATTACGTGCGTATGTACGTATGAATGTATGTATGTATGTATGTATGTATGTATGTATGTATGTATGTATGTGTGTATGCAACGAATTCAATAAACCTAAATGTAAATCATGTTCTCTAAACTTGCCACCTGCTTTAAAAACTTGTTCCTCGATAAACCTTGAGTAGGGTTTAAATACTGTGCACGCGAGATATATTCTTTGTTCCTATTAAGCATTGGAATTAACCAACTAACGTTGATTAATTTTTTTGCATGAGTAAAAAGTCATATTTAAATTTTCCTGTTCAATGATTGCACATCAAAGCATAGAGATTTCGCAATTTCATTTAAGATTGATCGAGTCAATCCATGATTTCGTGATTTGATCTTTTTCCAATGACTAAATTTGGAACTGCAATTCCTTCGCCTGAGGAAATAGCCTTGTTAACCAAGAGCAGAACCAGCGTGTGTTTCAACCGCAACAATGTGCGATCAATTAAGCAATGACAAACTGTGGTCGCCAATCACATACTACCTTTCAAACGCCTCATTTGCAGCCTTGACAGCTAAATCGACTTCGTCTTCATTACAGTCTGGAACCTTACAGTGCACCTTCCCCGTTGATTTGTCATAGCTGTCAATGTGATTCGTACAAGGTACGAATTTTCCACCGATAAAGTTCTCAAGTACTAACATTTCAGACGCCATCTTGTTGTTCTTTTGGCGGTAGACTGGAAAGAATGTCAGACCGAGGGAAGCTGGAATCGCTTGTATCAGTCACGCCCCTGACACACCTCCAATATTAGGACTATACAATTTACACAAATGAGCGGTCTCTCAAAGTCTCAATTTCTGTAGTCTCCTTCGCAGCCGTTGTTTGGGCTCGTCACGCAACGCTTGTGGCTACCATTTTAATTCCGTTTCGTTATTTTCATTTCCGGTTGTTTCGTTGCGTAATATCACGTGACTTATTCCCACGTGCTTTAAGATTTTGAAGTCGCTTGTTACGTATGTTGTAGTCCTGGTATGGGTCGCTATATTCCCAATCAGGGTTAAACAGTTCCTTATCGTGCTTAAGGCACGTTTTTATTAAAATAAGCCGCAAAGGTAACAACGCTCCCTCGCCCACCAACCGCCTGTGCTTAAACCCGAGCCACATTCCTTTCCCTTTGTTTAGATTTCACGGTGACTGCATATGATAATGCGCGTTTGCACCAATCACACGTCGCCTTTGGTTTCACGACAAAACCAATCAAATTTCAATGACGTAAGTTCCCCGCGTTAATTCATCGGCGCTTTCTAGAGTGGCTAGTCATCTCAAAAATTACCCATGGATGTAACTCCGAAGAAATTGATAGAAGGTAGTTCAAGATGCTTCATTTGTTCCTCGATTTCACTCACAAAGGATAAAATTTACATTTTTGGTAAAAGTTCATTTGACAAGAGAAAAACCCAGGGGAAAGAGACTGCTGCGGACGGACGAGGAGAAGAGCTCTTTGACAGGACTGTGAACACGATAACACCTTTATAAATTAAGCTTACGTCTATCACATCTGCTTTGGAAATGCCCTCGAAAAAGTGAGAAAACATTCCTATTGTTAACCACTCGACTTAATTGTAAAAGGAAAATATATAAACTTAAATAACATAAGACGAAGCTAAAATGGCACGTTAAGAGAAGTAAGGAATTGGTTCTTGTCTTACCACTGTCTTATAACACGTGCTTCATCGATATTGCCACAGCATATAACCTCACACGGTATACATGATTTCCTAGCATCGATAGCCAACGATCATTCTTGAGCCACGTTTCTGGTGAGCCGAAAACTAACGAATATTTTCCATACTCAATACTAGGGCGGTCAATCTCTGCTTGGGAACTAATTTTTACCGCGCTGACTCAAATACTTTGCAGGTAATTGACCTGATCCTCCATAAGACTTACGAGCGGAGAAACTATAACAACGATATGCGAGCAAGATTGTTGAAGTGATCGCACACGAGTGGAAGAGCCTGATAAATCAAGGATTTTCCAAACCCTGTAGGCAGGTTTACAAATACATCTTTTTTTTTTTTGCAAAAGAATTTTGTCAATATCAGCTTCTGGGAATCATTTAAACTAGGAATTTTGAATTTGGAAGCGGTCGAAACAAAAGCTTCTTTGAGAGTTGCCATTTTCTTTGCTCAATGAGACGCTGATAGAATACGAGTTTTGATTGGACGACTAGTCTTGGCGGGACTTACTCAGAATTATATGAGCGAAATCGTGATTGGCTAAAACCAGGGAAAGGAATGTGGTTCTGCTTTAAGCAGCCGGTGGGTTTGGGAGGGAGCGTTGCGTGACGAGCTCAAACAACGGCTGCGAAGGAGACTACAATTTCTGTGGAAAGATGTAAATTATACCGATGGCCAGTGGTAAAATCAGTTGAATTCGATGACAAAACGCAGCTCATAAGCTCGATAAAAGTTAATAAGCCTTTCTTCCTTAACCGTTTACTCATTTCCATGTCTTTTCCTCAGGATAATTGCTTTGTTTGCTTTCGGTGCAATGCGCAAAGACCTGTATGATCATTACGAGTAACGAAAAACACACCGTTAGTGGTCTCTCTCCGTCTTTCTGTCTGGCTCTGTTTCTCCCTCTAAACGATCCCCAAGGAGATAAATGCGGTGTGGCAAACTGGAAACCTGGAATTAACCACTATGGGTTCCGCTTTACAAGAAGCATGTGCTTTCGAAGTTATTCGTGCAAGACTGAATTGATCAAGATGATGACCACAAATATGTTGTAACCCATGGAAAAAGTCGGATTTTGTTAGCGAAGCTAGACGACAATTTGCGGGGTTATCAGTTACTTTCTTCTTTCAACGATTAATTCGACTAATACCAAAGGAAACAACGAGGTCGTTCACAAACATCCCTCAAAATTTATTCGCTTGAGAGCCCATTATTTACAGTACATTGACATCACTAGATAGACATAAGTTTCACAGATTTCAAGTATCAATATCAGCTACTGTTTTGATTCATAAAGACAGCTATAATGCTAATACGTCACATAATTGTACACAAAACATGCTATGACACCGGTATAAGTATCTACATTAACATACTGAGGGCCAAGCAAAGCTAATAGGGTGTACCAAAAAGCGATAAGAAACTGAAAACGTTTTTCGCTCCATATCATGGTCCTGAACGTTAATCTAATACTTAAATATTAAGACTCCAGTTAAGGTGTCCAACAGAAGTAACCTTCATGGATTTCCAATTTATGCTCCATTTATTCAAGAGAAGATCCTCTTTTGGTTTATTCTGAGGCGTGACCAATCATAATTTATCACCTTGGGGAGGGGAGGACGAGGAGGTTGAGGGTTTTGGGGGAAATCACAGGATCGTTTTTATGGGAATGGAGGCCTAGGGGGGTGAGTCTTAGCTAACCTAACAGATTATAAAGGTGGGAACTATAGAACATTGACTTTTGATGAGGGAGGACTATACCATCGAGCCTAGAGGGTGGAGGGGGAGGGGATATCAGGTAAATTTTATTTTCACACAGCCAAAATCCTTGCGAATCATCGAAGATTTTCTCCAAAACATCATTACGATGAAAAGAACTCGAAAAACCCCGAGGCCACAGCGGGTAACTAAAAGCTTACTGGTCGTATCTTCATTTCAGTTCTTTTAAGTGAGTAATCATGTCCTTTCCAGTGGGCCCAGCCAACGCCATTGTACCAATCGTTTTGTGCTTGGTAGTTTCTTCGGTGATAGTAACTATTTAGATTGCTCTTCCAACACGCTTTGTACCACCACCCTCCTTTACAAACCTCGCCACAGTTAACTTTCTCCTGTGAATCATTGTCTCGGTCTTTTGTTGTAAATGGGTAACCATCGTGATAAGAAAGCGAGTCTCCGGCAGTTCCTGAAATGATTCGATCAAAATTATTGTCGTCGAGAGATGATGATTATACTGTTAGCACTTGTTAAAAGACTTTATCAAACAGTCCTTAACTGATAGGAACTCAAGAGGAGGTAGTTTGGCCAAAAAGTTAGGATGCTCGACTTTTATTAGTCTCTGCTACTCGCTGAATTTATTTAATAAATAAACCCCTTCGGGCGGCAGGTTTGTCGGGTGATAATGTCCACGGCTGGGAGATTGTCCAAAAAATGAATATAATTGGCCGAGAAGCGAAGCTATAAAGGAAAATATGAAATTTTGAGGACAATCTCTCAGCCAAGGACATTATCAGCCGACATACCAGCAAGAGAGAACGGGGTTTATCTATTTTATATTCCTTCCATTAATTATCACATCGCAATTAAACTGCGCGTTGTTACGTGCATGAATGACCAACAGATGTCCGCTAACAGAGCATATTTAACAATTATTCCACGAGTGCGCGTTGGATATGAGATGATAGATAGCCAACGAGGCGCGTAGCGCTGAGTTGGCTAATAATCTCTTATCCAAAAGCGCGAGTGGAATAATTGTTTTAATAAAAAAACGCCCCCAAGATACCAGACAAATCTTCTCGACTTTATTTTGTAAGAAGAAACCGGATGTTACAATGTATAGATATTAGATTATGGTATATTGGCTCATATACCACAATGGCTAAGCCAGTAAAAAGTCTTGAATTGCATTATCCAATGATCCAGCTTTTAACATGAAATAAAAATAGACTCCCGAGTACGATATAAGGCACGCAACAAAAACGTAACAACAAGCAGTTACCCATTTTAACTATTATTTAATTAGTTTTACACTGTCTAAGTTACTTAGGTCAAAGATTAAGTTAAGCAGTTCGTAAAGCAGGCTTACAATCCTTCATGCCGTCCAAGTGTTCATCGTCCCAGATCAACTTCAAACTTCAACTTCCGCCGACTGAAGACCACAACGCTTGGCTTGCTTGATTCATCACATTCTTTCGTGTACACAAACTCTTCCGGAGGACTTCATAGTGAACGATAAATTCTTTATCCTCTTCCTTTCTGGCTATCGTCTTTTTCATCTCTTTCTTCTCTCCGGAAATCGCAAGGTCAAAAGGTAATCGCCTCATCACATCATAGCCTCCCCAAGTTCAGTCAGCCAGCCACGAGGGTAAGCCCTCAGGCAAATCTTCTTTGTACTTCTCACAAGCCAGCTTTCATACATTTACGTTAGGTATCTAGAATGTTCTATTACAATTTACAGCGCATTACAAGTTGTACTATTTTTGGAAACTGCTGAGTCGCATGAAAGAAGTTTTTGGAATATTACAGACAATAGGTAATTCTAGAAAAGTCTGGGATTGCGTGACAGATTCAGTGAAAATAATTCGATCCTCGTAACAGCGTTAACACAGTGAAAAAGCCAGCGGTGATCCGAATGGCAAATGCGCGTGATTGACGCAAGCAAGCAAGTACATTCGATTGGTTTAAGTAACTTTATTTTGAGAGTGATTGGACCAAAACTTGACAAGCTGTCATTTGAAATTAACTCTCATAATGCCCCTTAGATCAACAACTCGAAAACTTGGCGCTTTTGGTTCACATTTTTCGACGTGCTGTTCAAAAACTTGACTTTTGCGACCAGCTCCTTAATGTCACTATCGCTAGACTCAAAAAAACCAGTTTGGTTTCCTTACATGTAAATAGGAGAACGGAAAAGTTGAAACTCTTGTTTTGACTATGTTTCTTTTTCACGGAAAAAATCGGAGGACAAATATCGACGCGGACGGGGGTTATTGCGTGATAACTGTCATGTGATTTTGCACCACATGACGTAAAGTAACCAATAAAATCGCTCCAAAATTAGTGGTGGGCTATAATCTCGGTTACCCCCAATTCAACTCTTTATATGTAGCCAATTGGCCTCCCCCCCTCCCTGGCAATTAGTGTTCTTAAGCATTATTTTCTTTTATTTACCATGTCCGGTCCCTGAGAGCAAATTTACCTGAATAGCTTCCGATTCTTAAAGTGTAATCAGATCCTTCGCTCTCAACTTTGAACGTGGTGTACTCAGCGTAAACAGCATTCCCATCAAAATCCTCCAAATCTATGCGAAGTTCATAGACCCCGCTACTAGTCAGGCGGTGTATTTTGCCCAGTCCGAGCCAAAACTCGCTTGTTGTGTATCCAAAGCCGTGTTTGTAATGGTACCAGGTGCGAAAGAAGTCAACAGAGCCGTCCAGTCTCTTCTGGAACACAGTCCAACCCCCGCCAGAGGTTGTGTGGTCACAGTAAACATTAAAGTCACCTGAGCCATCAGGGTCAATTATATAAACGCCATTGCTTCTGGCTCCAGTGTTATAAAGCTCCCCGCAGTTTCTAGCCCCTGTTAGAGGAAACAAAAAGCGATCGCTCAACTTTTATCATTACTGACTGACGACAAAGTGTGTTTATCATTGCAGTTCATGACTGAGTTTCTTTAAGGGACTACAATCTTTGCTTCTAGTATATCTTGTGGTACTAATTATAGATTTAATGCATTATTCAAAGCCAGTACTCTTACTTTGGCAAGATTTTCCATTACCAATAAATCCAGATTTGCAGGAACAACTATACGAGCCCTGGTTATTATGGCAATCGGCATTGACATCACATCCATTTGAAGAACTACACTCGTCAATATCTATATAGAAATGACACAAATAAAGGCACCAGCAATAGTTGATGGAAACATTTCGTAAATTACAATACAGCAGTGCTGTGATAAGCTCTGATAAGATGCAGACACATCCGAGAACTAGTTCCATTCAAAGTGTTATTTATTCGAATTAACTATGCAAACTAACTTGGTGAAGAGCTTCTGTTGGCGACATGCAGAGAATGTCGAGGTATTAACGGGGAGGGGGTAGGGAAGAAAATGCAAGAATAGCTGCAACCTTGTTTCCAGGGAAAAAGCCCTGGTAACGAGGTTGGAACAGCTGAGGAGAGAGTGGGTGGGTGAGTGATTTCCACCCAGAATCCCACCCAAGGAAAAATAGTATTCTGATTCGGGTCAGCCTGTTTGAAATCTTCAATTTTAAAAGGAAAATTTACTCTTTTATATACAAGTATTGCCATACGCTTTAAAGATTCTTGCTATGCTTAAAGTTGTCGCCTCACTTCACAAGTAAATGGTATTCGCTGACTTTTCTTATTTCATTTTGTTTTTGAGGAAATAACTGTCTCAGTTTTTGAGGTTCGACAGACCTTCTCCATCAGATCCACCAAATATAAAATAACTCTCTTTAACACCTGCCGAAGCAACAACTAATTCAGACCCCAAATTAACCCTACCCAGGCAAAGTTTAATTTTCATACCCCCCGGGCCCGAAGGACAGTCAAATGCCCGTGGGCTGCCCGAGAGGGGAGGGGGGGTTTGAAGCTTCAAAGTGATTAGCACATTATTTGAGCCAAGTGTACCTGTACATGATTTCCCGTCTCCAACAAATCCAGTTTTGCAAGAGCAGCCGTAAGAGCCAAAAGTGTTGTGGCAGTTCGCGTTTACGTCACAACCCCGAAAAGAGTTACTTAAACACTCATTGAAATCTGAAACAAATTAGCAAGCTTAATCTTGAATGAAAAAAGTTGACGTATGATCATTGGGGGGAAAATCGACTTGTGAAGAGGACAAATTTTAGTAGGAAGACCACCTGGTCAGGGACTAGTCAGTATCTATCCCCTGGGGGTTGTCGGACGATTTTTGGATTGAACCTAGACGTGCAAAGGCAGAGGGGAAAAGGATACTACATGCCCCCTCTTGGCTTTTTAGATTTTATCAAGAGGATTTTATCGAGGCAACTATCCACGACAGGTGTTCGTTTACCTTCGAAACATATTTGCTGTGAACTTGGTGGAATCGGCTAGCTGGTAGATATCTGTGTCATTAACCAGGCTTGTTCGGTCAAGATGGCTGGATATCGGCCGAGTTCTTTTTTTGCATTTTTATGGACCGAGATGAAGTGGAGGTCTATAAAAATGCGAAAAAAAAAAAAAGACACGAGGCTAATATCCAGCCATCTTGAACGAACGAGCTTGGTTAATAAGGGATTTATCACATTGCAAAAAGATTTCGCTTTAGTAAGAATCAAGAATAAAAAAAAAAAAACTAGAGCTGAGGAAAAAAGCCAACTATGTTTGTAGCACAATAAAAAAAAAAAAAAAATAACTGTTTTCTTTGTTTTGACTATCTTCTGCCGCCTTTTGCAAAAAAAAAAAAAGAATTGTTTAAGAATTACGAATGTATTTCTAATAATGATTTTCAAAAAAAAAAAAATCGATGCGGGCAATCCCGAGCGGGCAAGATGGGCCCATCTTGCAAAAAAAAAAAAACAATCACAACACAGGATTCGCTTTATCTTACCAACGGGCGTTGAAAAAAAAAAAAAAAATAGGAGATACTAAACGCCAAGTGGGTAGTAGTTTACGGGTAAAAAAAAAAAAAGAAAGTTGAAAAGGGAAGTACAGTAAACCTACTATTTATTTTTAAAAAAAAAAAAAATTTCCTGTCGAGTTCAATAGCTACTGATCTTTTGACAAGCGAAAAAAAAAAAAAAGAAAAAATGTAAAAATTGAAAAGTCTACCAGCTGGATGACGTCAAAAAAAAAAAAAAGTAACATTTGCATATGCATCCCATTCTATCAACGTGAACATGAAAAAAAAAAAAAAGGCTATCTAATTAGGTAAAGAAAAACTTTAAAAAATTGCAATAAAAAAAAAAAAAAAGGGAGGGGGAATGGTTCCAATCACCCTTCTATAACCACGGTAAAAAAAAAAAAATGCATGTACGTCCAAGGGTTAAAAAACGTGCGACCGAGTTTAAAAAAAAAAAAAAAAGCGTTTGGAAGAAAGTTTACCAGCGCATTTCTTTCCATCTCCAAAAAAAAAAAAATTACATGAACACCGATAGGAGCCGTAAGTGTTCCGACAATTGGAAAAAAAAAAAAAAGCCCGAATGGAAGCGCTGCACTCATCAATATCTAAGGACAAAAAAAAAAAAAAAAAAAATGTAATACGGCAGAAAACTTCACCTGACGAAAATTGTAAAAAAAAAAAAAAACAGCAAAACACAAAATGATGATTGGTAAGAGTTACCAAATTTGAAAAAAAAAAAAAAAAGCACTATCTTTGCTAAATGAAAAAGACAAATTACTTTCACAAAAAAAAAAAAACTCCCAGCAGCAACATTTGCATATGCATCTCATTCTATAAACGAAAAAAAAAAAAAGACCTAACAGGCCATCTAATTAGGTCAAATTCAAAAATTCAAAAAAAAAAAAAAAACAAAAAATGCAAGGAAGGGAGAATGGTTCCAACCACCCTTCTTAAAAAAAAAAAAAGATATGAGTTTGCATGTACGTCCAAGGGTTAAAACACGCGCGAAAAAAAAAAAAAAGGTTCGAATCAGCGTTTGGACGAAAGTTTACCTGCGCATTTCTAAAAAAAAAAAAAAAATCCAGTCTTGCATGAGCACCAATAGGAGCCGTAAGTGTTCAAAAAAAAAAAAATGACATCACAAGCCCGAATGGAAGCACTGCACTCATCAACATCAAAAAAAAAAAAAAAGAAGAAAAAAACAATCTGATACGGGAGAAAACTCACCTGAAAAAAAAAAAAAAAAGCTTGAAAATGGTGGTTGGAAACTGGTAAGAGTTACCGAACTAAAAAAAAAAAAAGTAAAGCATTATCTTCGCTAAAGGAAAAAGACAAATTACTTTCAAAAAAAAAAAAATGCTCCCAGCAGCAACATTTGCATATGCATCCCATTCTATAAAAAAAAAAAAAAAAACGACCTAACAGGCTATCTAATTAGGTAAAAAAAAAAAATTAAAAAAAAAAAAAAAACAAAAATGCAAGGCAGGGAGAATGGTTCCAACCACCCTTCTTAAAAAAAAAAAAATTTTGATATGAATTTGCATGTACGTCCGAGAGTTAAAAAAAACAAAAAAAAAAAAATAAATAGGTTGGAATCAGCGTTTGGACGAAAGTTTACCCGCGCAAAAAAAAAAAAATCCAGTAAATCCAGTTTTGCATGAACACCGATAGGAGCCGTAAAAAAAAAAAAAAATGGCGTTGACGTCACAAACCCGAATGGAAGCACTGCACTCATCAAAAAAAAAAAAAAAAAAAGAGAAGAAAAAAATTAATCTGATACGCGAGAAAACTCAAAAAAAAAAAAATAAAAATAACTTGAAAATGAAGGTTGGAAACTGCTACGAGTTAAAAAAAAAAAAAAATTACATTTAAAGCACCATCTTTGCTAAAGGAGAAAGACAAATAAAAAAAAAAAAAAAAGTATTTCTAGCAATATTCCATCAGAGCAATAAATGAATGAATAAATGCACTTCAATTTATTAGTTCATGCAGCAATATAGTTGATGCTTTCTTACCAAAAAAAAAAAAATTCCCTGTGAACCCTTCTGCGCAAACGCACAAGTAACTGTTTTAAAAAAAAAAAAAGGCGCATGTCCCTTTGTTCTGACAAGGCCAACTGATGCATGGAAAAAAAAAAAAAAGAGGAAAACACAAAAATTAGGTCTCTCTAAGGGACCAATCAGTAAAAAAAAAAAAAGAGAGAGAAAGGACTTTGGGATGGATCACATGGAAAGGACGGGAAAAAAAAAAAAAGCCAGCAAATAAAGTAAGGAATATAGAAAAAAAAAACTGCAAAAAAAAAAAAAAAAGGGTGTAGGTAGGGGGCTAGGGCTAGGATTAGGGTTAGGGTCAAAAAAAAAAAAAAGAGATAATAATGGCCAGTTCTCAGTGTTGTTTGCGATGCTAATAAAAAAAAAAAAAAAAAAAAGAAATCAATCAATATTTTGATAAATTAATTAAGTATAAAAAAAAAAAAATCACCGCGATACTATAGTGATGGTGACTTTGACTGAAGACAAAAAAAAAAAAAAAATTGTAAATGTCCGATGGAAGCAATTCACAGATCACTTTACCAAAAAAAAAAAAAAACGCGCCCAAGTTAAAAGAGAAACATGACGGAATGTTGACACAGAAAAAAAAAAAAACGCTGYCTTTCAGAACAAARTCWGAACCGATGCTGGTGAGGTTAAAAAAAAAAAAATTGTGRGGCTTAAACCTGGCATATGCCATTCCTCTATCAGTGCAAAAAAAAAAAAATT